GTACAGTTATCTCTTCACTCGAAATTTCGGTAGCCTCCCGGCGTCTTTCTACGAGGACACTGCGGTCGTGAAATCTGTCCCGACCACGCCAGAGAAAGGCGTGTATGGGTCTTCGGTACCTGTTGCAAAAGAGAAGCAGTTTTTCCCCGCAAGTGGGTACTTATGAATATCTCGGTCTCGCCGTAGGCGCCGCACCGGGTTCCCATCCCACCACGCTAGAGCGTGTATGAGCTGTTTGCCGGCTCGACACGAACATTAAGAACAGAATTTTGGAACCGGGGGGTCGCTCGCCTACCTCGTCGTAGGTGTCGCGCCGAGTTCCCTTCCCACTACGCTAGAGAAAAGTGTGTATAGGCGGTTTGCCGGCCTGACATGCATGCCGAGATAAGAGAGGGATTAGCTTATTTATTTTTTAATTATAATTATATTAGTTAATTGTAATTAATTATAATTATAATCATTTTTAATTAATTATATTTATTTACCTTCAATTATAATTAACTATAACAATTAATTATAATTAATATCATTAATTAACATAATTAATTATGATTAACTTTTATTAATCATAATTAATTAATATTAATTAACTTAAATTAATTATCACTAATTAATAATAATGTAAAAGAAATAATTATAATTAATTAATTTGATTATAATTAATATTAATTATAATTAAATAAAATTAATTATAATTAAGATTAATGAAACCCTTAATCCTCCTCCTTTTACCTCTCTGATTTTGGCAAACTTACAGGATTCGGCCGAAGAGGCTCTGGAAAGGGAGAAAGTTACCTTCAAGTAAGCGAGCTCTTAGTTGTTGCTTCCGATTAAAATGTTGTAACTTTTGATCCCAACAGGAAAGGAAAGTCGTCGTTGGAGCCAATCGAATAACCACGAAGGGATCGGAGAAGAGGTGCACCCAAAGGGAGAAAGTTTCTTCACCGCGAGCTCCCACCGTTGCTTCCGTCAAACTGTCGTAGTTTCCAACCGGACTGGGGGAAAATGTCGGAGGAGTGAAGTCGATGGTCCATGAAGGAGCGGAAGAAGTGTTCGAGAGGGAGAAGGTTAACTTCACAGCTGCGAGATCCCGTTGCTGCTTCCGCTTAAATGCCGTAACTTCCGATCCTATAGGAGGGGACTTCATCAGGGGATAGAGCGAGAGAGATAGCGAGGAAGAGAGAGCAAAAAGCCCTGAATGCCTCTTCCTCTTGGTATTTAACGACGCGAGGTGGGATCGTGCGAAACACGAACGGGCTGACTGCGACGTGGGAGGAGTGTTCGCAAACGTGCGACGTGCTTCGGCAGAGAGCAGGTAAGTGATTTATATTTTTTTGTTCTGAAATTATTGGTCAACAAATGCCCCCCAATAAATATGATACGCGCTTAGAGCAAACCATGTTTATTTTATGGTGATTGATTCCGTGGATCTCTAGATATTTGTTCTTGATGTCACACGAGGGTTATCTTTTAGTGGATCTCCAAAAATTGTTCGGATGTCACACTAGAATCTTCTTTCTTCACTGCTCTTTTAGATGTATCCATAGATGATTGATATATTGACTTTATAGATTGACGCTAGTGGATAGCATGTATTCAAGATTTTTTCATTATTTGGTTGTATCTTGATAACATTTTAAATATTTATTTGTGGATCTTGGCATGCGGCGCGATGTCGACCCAAATAAATATTTAAAATGCCCCTAGCCTTTAGAGACATTTGTAGATGTCATCCAGGGTGCTCATTCTGCAACTTTAGCTTGAGTCATGGGATCTTGATTTCTTCTGCCCTGTGCTTTGTGCTGTGGACATTGATGAAAAGTTATCTGATTTGTCTTTACTGATTGTCAGAAAATGTATGCCTTCTGCCCTTTGCTTCTAGCTTTGGTGGGCTTGATGAAGGGGTATATGCCAATGACATAAATCTTTTAGGTTTATACTGAGTCGATGGCGAAAAGTCATCGTTCCAGAGCTTTGTACATAACAAACTTGTTGATAACTAAATCCTTTTAGTTCAGCCATAAGCTTTTCATAAACTTTGGGATAGTTTTCTTCAGTCATTTACTTTGTGCTTTGGCGGACTTGTTGAATAATAATTCCTTCGATCCTTGCTTTGTGCTTTGTGGATTTGTTGAAGGATTTGCAGGTTCTGGATTCAGTTTATAGTACCGAATGTGAGTAGTATCTTGATCCTTAATCACTTGAGGAGACTTTAATCTAATTCACTTGAGTTTATCAGATCAAGAGAGCTGTGATTTGATAGCTCTCTATCCTCTGGTTGCTGAGATGGGGGTTCCTCTATTACGGCATTTCTTATGGCTTGTTGAGTAGATGTAGCTGTCAGCGATCCGGCTATATTTGGGCTTGTTGGATTCGACCTCTTACGCCCATTCAAGCTTGACTTGAGCTATGAGAATTGCGCTTCCCAATGCTGATTTTACTGAAGTTGGAAGACTTCAAGCTTTTCTAGCTCAATTTGTTGTAGTGTGTAGTTACAAAAGTCTCTCTCTTGACCTTTGAGCTTTGGTTTGTTGGAGGAGATGTTGTCTCGATCTTTTGAAAGATCACATGCATATACTTTGAAAAATAAGTATTGTATTCTTTAGCACAAAAGAATATTTGAATTGATAATTTTAAATATTTATTCGGGGATCTCGGCACGTAGCGTGTTGTCGACCCGAATAAATTTTTAAAATGCCCCAAGCCTGATTGAGGATTTTGAAATATATTCTCGCAACACTGGAGAATTTCAAAACATGGAATATATGTGCTAGCAAACATGTGTGAAAGCATAACACATTTAAGCATAATGTTTTCTGGAGCAATTTCATGCATATTATTTCTTCAGGTGTCGGCCATTGATTGGCGGCATAGGCCTCTGACCATTCAGATCAATGAGTTGATAAACGCCTCCCTGGTACACCTTTTTCGATTAGGAAAGATCCTTCCCAGTTGGATACGAATTTGCCACCAACTTTTCTATGGGGGATGATTGGTCTTCTCTGCACCAAGACTAATCCTCATTCTTGAAATGATCGAGGACGCACCATCTGATCAAAATTTTATCATTCTCGCTCGGTAGATCACCAGGTTTTGTTGAGCTTGCAATCTGAGTTCATCGATTGCATCGAGCTTCTCCATTCTTAGGCTAGCATTTTGTTTTTGAGTCAGCTTATTATGGATAGTGACCCGAAGAGATGAAAGTTCAACTTCTAATGGCAGACTGACAGTACAACTTCAACTCCAAACACTAGTGAGTAAGGAGTGGCTTTGGTTGGCATTTTGTAAGTAGTACGATATGCCTCCAATGCTTCGGCCATCTTCGTATGCTACTCTATTTTATTCTTGGTGAGAATTTTCTTTAGCAATTTCAGTAGTGTTTTGTTGAAGGCTTCTGCCAATCCATTTGCCCTCAGATTGTATATGGATGAATATTTTCAATCGATCTTGTGCCGATCAATGAACTTGTAAATTTTTATACTTTTAGATGCAGTGCCGTTGTCTGATATTATACGACGTGGTACACCAAATATGTAGACAATATTGTAGGTAAAAAAATTGATTTCATACTCGGATGTAACTTCTTTGAATGGAGCTGCTTCTACCCACTTGGAAAAGTAATCTATTGCTGCCAAGATAAAGCGGCGTCCTGCTGGTGACGGTGGATCTATCGGCCCGATAACATCAGTACCCGAGCATTCAAATGGCCAGGATGCTATTGTAGGGTGCAGTGGATTTGGCGGTTGATGTATAACATCACTGTGGATTTGACACTTGTGGCACCTCTTAGTGTGGTCAATAAAATCTTTTACCATTCTCGACCAATAATAGCCCATTCTTTTAATTTTGTCCGCAATTTTGGGACCTGATTGGTGCGCTCCACAAAGTCCTTCGTGGACTTCTGCCGCCACTTTATCAGCTTCTCGGGTCCCTAGGCACCTTAGCCACATTTGATCAAAGGCACGTCGATATAATGTGTTGTTAATAAACGCATATCGTAACGCTCTCTTTCTAATTTGAGCAGCTAATGATTTGTCCATTGACAATCTACTTTCTTTGAAATAGTCAATGAACGGTTGCCTCCAGTCATATTCTTCCTCGAAATCTAGGTAATGCCACCATGATTCTGAAGTTTGATTTGCTTTGCATCTTGTCTCAAGAACTTGACGTTCTTCAGGCTGACCTTCATGAGCAGCTGGTTGGGGAGGTTGAGGATCAACCGGAGTTGCATCCTTGACTTGAACTTGGTATTCTCTCTGCCTGCGGGAGTTGTAATAATGCTGGCTCTAAGATCCGGCGTTTGTGTACCATAATTATTATAGGCCATTCATCATCCATATTCGCCATTTTTTTAGTCAATTTGGCCAGGGAATCAGCTTTGCCATTTTGACCTCGGGGGACTTGAGTTAGTTTGACAACTGGAATTTGCTTCATAAGCTCAAGAACTCGCCGATGATAACAAGCAAACTCAAACTTGGTGATTTTGTAGATTCCCAGTACTTGATTTATAACAAGTTGAGAATTACCAAAAATTTGGAGATTTCGAATACGAACATCGATTGCAACCAATTGTGGGACAGAATCTAGTCTATCTTCTGGACACCTCAAAGAAGTATAAAAAGGAATTTAGTGATGAGTTCTTGTCAGTAGAGCACCTCATATTGGCATTGTTCTCAGATAAGAGATTTGGGCAGCAGTTGTTCAATATTTGGAACTTTTATTGGGTGCGGAGTGCGGACGTAGCTCTGTGTATGCAAACAAGTAGTTTTGCGCCACGTGGAGCCCACCTTGACCCCACCGTAATGAGGAGATCGTGTGCTCTGTTAACCCGATAACACGAACCATCCGAACTACATCAAAAAATGCGTGGTAAAAGCTAGGGTTATATTTGCTTGCGCGGTTTTTTTACCTCAGTTAAAATTTTTTTCTCGTAACACCTGAAACCACAGAAAGCACGAGAAGAGCGGAAGGTCTGAGGTTTCTTGGCGTAAGGTCTGAAGATGGATTCTGTGCCGGAAGAGATGAACGACTGGTCGAAGATGGAAGGTTTTACGCAAGAGTCAGAGCTTAGAGGTGGAGATGGTTTGCAACAGAATACCCAACCAAACTTTGATATATTATCGGTAAATATGATATGAAAGCTGTGACTTGTTTAGTGTTTTAAAAAATTTGTATTGGTGAGAATATATGTATTGGTGGGTTGGCGGTACCGTTTAGTACCTTTTTAAAATGTTCGGTACCGCTAGGTATCAGTAGGTATCGGTCGGTACCGCTAGGTATCAGTAGGTATCGGTCGGTACTGGTAGGTAACAGTAGGTACAGAAGTTATTTTGAAATTGTGTGTGTGTTTCCAATATTAAACTCTTCTTGGTTGTTGTTTGTAGGTTGTTTGTAATAGTGAGAAAGAGGCTTATGATATTTACTGTCGATACGCGCATAGTGTTGGTTTTAGTGTTCGCAAAGATCATCACTGTTACTGGCCTAATTCGCGGAAGATACGGATGAAAGATTTTGTATGTTCGAAAGCTGATTTTAAGAAGGGCCTTGACCTGAATGCCAAATCGAAATACAGGAAAGCCAATACTAGGACTGGGTGTCCCGCGATGATTAGATTTTCAGTTGATCAAGAAGGGGAATGGAAGGTTAATAAATGCGTTGAGAACCACAACCATGAGTTGGCAAGGCCTGAAGATCAACATTTATTAAGATCATGCAGGAATATTACCGAAGAGAGAGCATTTGTTCTTAAATCTATGACTGATGCTGGGATTAGAACCATTGATGCATTCACATACTTAGCTGATGAAGTTGGTGGGAGGGAGTATGTTGGTTTTTTAAGAAGAGATGCATATAACTTTGTTCAGAGAAACAGAAGATGCAAGATTGAGACTGGGGATACCAATTCCCTAATAGAAATTTTTAAAAACCGAGCAAACAATGATAACATGTTTGTGTGGGAAGTCCAATATGATGAGGAGGATAGATTGATGAATTTTTTCTGGGCTGATGTTGTGGGTAGAATAGACTACGACTGCTTTGGAGATGCTATAATTTTTGATACCAGCTATAGACTGAACAAATACAATCTAGCTTGTGCACCTTTTGTTGGAGTTAATAACCATTGGTAGAATGTTTTTTAGGGGGTAGCATTTCTGTCTGAAGAAACAGTAGAATCATTTACATGGTTGTTTAGAACATTCTTGAGAGTAATGGGTGATAAACATCCCATTACAATTTTTACTGACCAGGATCAAGCAATGTCTCGTGCAATACAAATTGCATTTCCGCAAACACGCCATAGGCTTTGCCAATGACACATCATGAAGAAGCTTCCATCCAAGGTGCATTGTTACAACAGCAACAACAAGGTTAGAAGGTTGATTTATAAATGTTTCAGCAAGTGTGATTCAGAGGAAGAGTTTGAAAGCACTTGGACTGAAATGCTGAATGAAGGGGACCTTCATAGCCATGAGTGGTTGAAAGAGCTCCACAAAATAAGGCACAAGTGGTCCACAGCATACAACAAGATTTGTTTCAACCTTGGTATTCTTTCAACACAGCGCAGTGAATCCACTAACAATGTGTGCCACGACATTTCTAAGCCTACTAGCACCATCACTGAGTGTTTTTTGGGAATAGAGAAGGTGATGAAGATATGGCGTCGGAATGAAAAGGATGAAGACTTCAAATGTAGTCAGTCTGATGTTGTCTCTTTAGTGAAGAGTAGTCCAATTCTAAGGCAGGCCGTGTGTATTTATTCGCGTAAATTGTATTCTTTCTTTGAGGAGTTTTTACAAGGTGTTGGAGGAATGTGCATAGCTCAAGCCTCAACTGACTTATCAACTTTTTTTGTCAAAACTGTTGAGAACATTGATCAGCCTCGCCACTGGGCAGTTAATTTTGATGATGCAGAAGATAGCATCGAATGCAGCTGTGGAAAATTCAGTATGATGGGGATACTATGTTCTCACTGCTTGAGAGTGATAAGGCGGCTTGATATAATTAATATACCTCCGAAATATCTACTCAAGAGATGGTCAGGTCGAGCAAGAAAGGACCTTTACTCTGACAGGCCGTTGTCATCTATGGTAGCTACCGGATGCCCCTCAGATGGCATAGGAAGTATGATTTTCAGAAATTATTTTACTAGATTTGCATATCAAATTAGCAGTAGAGGGGAAGGGAATACTGAAGCAGAACAGTACATGATTGATGCAATGTCTGAGATTGCTGAGAATGTGGATCTAATTTTAAATGCTAGCAAGGACTCAAACTTAGATACGAATTCAAGCATGCGAACTAAAATAAAAGACCCTATAAAGCGCAGACCCAAAGGAGTTTCAAATGCAAGGTTGAAGAGTCATTGGGAAAAAAGAAAGCCGAAGAGGAAAAAAGCTGAGGAACAACCTACACCTTCAACTCATCAGCCTACACCAGTGGAACATAGTAGTCAAGTTTCTTTTGCAAATATACCAGAATACTACGCTTCAACTCAACAGCCTACACCAGCGGAACCTAGTAGCCAAGTTTCTTTTGCAAACATTCCAGATTATTTTGCTTCAACTCATCAGCAAACACATGTGGAACGTTTTAGTCATGTTCCCTTTTCGAACATACCGGAATGCTTCACCGATGAGTGGCTTCTTCGTCGACCTACCAGTCAGCCCAACCCTGAATATTTAAACATGATGAATGGATTTATTGATGCTGAAAGGCTGGGATAAATTTTCCGAATATCTAATTTGTTTTTATTTGATTTTTGACATTATTGTAGAAAATTCGGCCTTTTTTTATCTGTCGGTACCGTTCGGTATTGGTGGGTACCTTTAAGTATCGGTACTATTGCGTATTAGCGTCTGCAACACCAACAGTCAAAAGA